TTGGACAAGCTGGGAATGAAAGATCTCTTCCATCCAGCTTGAGGGGGAGTGTTGAAGATTCTGAAGTAATTAAGGCAGATTTGAAGCTGATTTGTTGGGAGTAAAAACAGAAAGTCAGATATCCTTTCCTATAAATTAGAACCTAACAATAATATCTATTTATGTGTAGTTAATAGCTGTTCTAATATAGATATGTAGATGTTGTATATATTCAACAATTCATTATGAAATAAAGTGAGAAGTCAGAATTTAACAACTCTCCATAGAAAATTAATAAATTTACTTCATGTACATCATGCTGCTTTCTGGGGAATTAGCTGAGACAGGAGTCGGCACATTTAATTAACTTCATTAACAGAACTTCCTAAAATTCAATTCTGTGCAGAGCTAACTGGTGAATAAGATGGTGCTAGATATGGTGGTAGGCAATGGTGGCTGCAGCGGCAACAGTTTCTTAAAGTAGTTACAGAAGTGGCAAGCTGGAGGATGCCTTCAATATATATGCATGCCATTATGAGGCAATGGTGTCAGCATGAATATCAAGAGCAACGACAACGACAGTTGGGAGGCAATAGAGTTGATGTAGCTATGATGGTCAGTGCAATGCGGCTAGCAGCAAGTGAGAACTGGGGATGGTTGGGCATAACAGTGTAGCTGATCATAGCAGGTGAGAACCAGGAGGTGAGTGGCATGGAGTGTGTGGTCTCATCTAACTATCATTTAAGGTATCAGTACAGGCAGCTCTGGATCAAGTCACGTTATTGGCACTAACAATGTAGAAGCTAATTAAATTTGCAGATTTGATTGAAATTCCACGTTAATTTAGAGGGTACAGGATGGTTGTTAGTTATGAGCTAAACCACTCTCGATGAGCTGAATTACTCGAAACAATTCATTCTGAAAATAGATTTAAATTAGTAGATAAAATTTAAAATATAATATATATTATTCTTAATAATTTTTTTAATAAACTTGAGATTTATATTATTTTATACTTAATTTTTATCAAATAAATAAAAATGATGAGTTTTAAACTCGTAATTATTTAAATATTAAAACTTTAATATTATATCAAAGAACTAATTTAATCTAAAAATTTAAATTATTAGATGATATGATATCGCTTATATTAATTTAAAAAATTAATTTTTTATTTTAAAAAATATTTTTTATTTCAGTATATCAAAATAATTAAGAATATTAAAAAATATTAATTTAAAATAAAAAAATAATATTTTTTAATTTTTACAAAAAATTAACTTGAAGCAAATACAAACAACCACTTAAAACAAATTAAATGTGATTGTGCCCATTTTGAGTTTTATGCCGTTGTTTTTTTCTATATGTGGAAGATCCAAGTTTTAGACATTTAGCAATTATTTGGACAAGACTAGAGACGCGCGAAGTGACTCCCTTTCTAACATCACGTCATATCTGTGATGTCTCCATTTTTGACCTATTAAACCCTACCATCACCCCTCCAATCTCCTTGATAGTTGTTGGTAGGACCCTCCAAATCCCCCCTTTTAAAATTAAAAACTACAGCATAAATACAAGTTGTCATCGTCTGCCTGGAACCCTACAAGGCTCCCACCCGCTCTGTCGGTCTCCTGCAGTATACAAAACCCCTTCCTGTTCCTGCAGTCTTTTAGTTTTTTCTCCTTCCTCGAAAACTTCACTCTCTTTCTTCTCTCAGCAAACCTTATCAATGTCGCACCTCCTGTTTCCAACTCACAAACTGAGTCAATCTAAACTGCACCGACAATCCTCGTAACTTCTTAACCTCCTGATATTCAAGAACCATGATTCCTTTATCAATTGCCAGTCGAAGTCCAGCTACAAAATTGTATCCAGATAACCCAAAAATACAAATATCCTCTTCTACTAAGTTTTCTCACATGAAACCAGTTCCATGCTCTTTTCTCAGGAAAAACCCCAACACTATTAACAACCCTGCGAAGTCCAAGACTCATCCTTTTGGCTCCGTATTAATAACCCCAGATCACGTTTCTTACAAGAAAGGCAAGATAAACCGGGAATACGAGGAAAGAAGAGATTCTGGCCATGTGGGTCGCCAACAGATGCTGGCTTTGTGTGGGTTTGGGTATTGGATGCAGGGGTTTAGGAGTTTTCCTTGGCTTTCTCTCAACTTCCATATGGCTCACAATCTCAACTTGCATCCATCACAATTGCAGCTTTTGCAAATCTCTGGTAACCTTCCCATGGTGGCCAAACCTCTTTATGGACTCCTCTCTGATGCTTTTTACATTGGAGGTGCTCATAGAGTACCTTATATTCTCATGGGAGGTATGTTATCTTATATATCCTCTGCTTTGTCTAGTTTATGTTTTTCAGCGTTCATTGCTTCTGTTTAACCAATCATCTCGACTGGCATTCTTTAATTTTATGTTTTAAGCTTATTGTTGGATCCTATATATGTTTCTAAATCAGGCTGGATATGTGGTTAAATTTTCTTGGGCATGGATTCTGGCATTATGTCCTTTGCCTGAAATCCCCACCTTTCCTTTTCCCTATGTAGCTATGACTCAAGCTTCCTTTTGTCAATTTCCATCTCCATACCTCCTGTGCATGGACAATAAAAAGATACAGAACCTTTAATTTATCAGACTAGTTATAATAGTAGCTTACTTTGGTCTGATCCTATCCTTTTGCTATCAACTGCAGTCTTGAATGAATACTAGAATTTGAAAGTGCATGGTAAATGGTGATAGTTTGTCTTTCTTAGATGTCTATTGTAAGTGATTGTAGGGAATTTCTTGAAGAACAAAAATAGGTAAAGATATGGCCATCACCAGAGATAAGGGAAAATTTGAAATTTGAAAACTCAACCTATTGTGATAGTGAGTGCAAGCTCGCCATATCCTAAATAATTCTTACGAACTAATATATCTGGTTGATTGATCAAGTTTACAAAGGATGCTGACGGAAGTGAAATTCTCAGTCTTTTTGCAGGTGCTGGGTTGGGGGCCGCTGGCATTGATCCCTGTTGCACGGGAAGCCCTTCCGATTCTTATTTCATGCATTCTTATAAGTAATCTTGGTGCTTCAATCACAGAAGTAGCAAACGATGCTCTTGTCACAGAGTATGGCCAAAAAAACAGAATTGGAGGCCTCCAGTCCTATGCATTTATGGCTTTAGCTGTTGGTGGAATCCTAGGCAACTTGCTAGGTGGTTGTTTCTTACAAAAAACACCACCCAAAACCATGTTTCTTGTATTTTCAGTTCTTCTCTCTCTTCAACTAGCAACTTCATCAATAGTAAGAGAGAAATCGCTTGGTTTATTAGAACCATCAAATCACAACCTTGTGAAGACATCAATTTGGGAGAATACCAGAAAACAGCTAAGTGATCTTAAAACTGCATTAAACGAGGACAGCATCTCCCACCCTCTCACTTGGATCGTAGCTTCTATTGCTACAGTTCCGGTTCTCTCAGGTTCCATCTTTTGCTATCAAACACAGTGTCTGCATCTTGATCCTTCAATTATTGGAATGTCACGTGTAATTGGGCAGATGATGCTTCTTTCCATGACTGTACTCTATGACCGTTACTGGAAAGAAGTACCTATGAGGAAATTAGTTGGTGCAGTTCAGTTTTTATATGCTTCTTCTCTTCTTCTGGACTTTGTTCTTGTGAGACAGATAAATCTTAAACTGGGAATTTCCAACGAGGTATTTGCTTGTTGTTTTTCGGGTTTAGCAGAAATACTTGCTCAATTTAAGCTCCTTCCTTTCTCAATGCTATTAGCTAGTTTATGTCCTCAGGGTTGTGAAGGATCTCTTACCTCTTTCTTGGCATCTTCGTTGTGTTTATCATCAATTGTCAGTGGGTTTTTGGGTGTTGGGTTAGCTTCTCTGATCGGAATAACATCTGGTGATTACTCAAGCCTGCCAGTGGGAATTTTGATACAGTTCTTTGCAGCATTATTGCCTTTAGGATGGATTCAACGTGTACCCATGTCCGAACCCATTGTTGAGAAAGAAAGAAAGCAAGGTATGAGTAAAAGAACAAGGAAAAATAGAAGGGTTGGAAGAGTGTTATTAGGCTCTATTTATGTTTACCGCCGTGAAAGAGAATCTGATTCACAGAGATAAATGAGCTAGCGTAACGATAACATTTTCGTGGACAAAGAGGAGTAGAGGATCGGGACATTTGAATTGTCCAAGTCTCATGTCTTCACACCCAAAATGAGCCCATTTCAGCCGCAGCTAAGATTAAGAATGATCCTTTAATTGGTGCAACTCCTCTGGCAAAGGTGATCCTTTGTTTAATTTCAAATGGATTATTGTTTCACAAATGTACACGCATCAGTTACCAGCTCCATTCAAGCAGGAAGTTATCTTGATTATGGGATTTTGATATTTGATATGAAGATTTGCTTCTGATGTTTGTTGAAGTGTGTAGTATAATTTCCAGAGGACTATTTCTGCTGCACATCAAGTTCATCTGGCAGCTTGAGGAATGGAGAAGAACAAGCAGGAAGGCATTTAGATGATGTTTGTGACTGTTCTGTTCTATTTGTGGAAGCCTATATACCCAATGTTTAACTTTTGGTAGTGAACTAATGCTATGACAACTATGGTTTGGGTTCTGCTTAGTGGTGCCGTTAATAAATTCCTGAATTATGAAAAGAAAAAAATTAGTTCGGGTGGAGGCTAGAGGGTTGAGCGTGCAGAGCAGAGGGGACAGTTGAGTAGAGAAACCAAAATTATGAACAAGAACTGGAATCATGAAAATACCTGGTATTATTCCATACATAGTTTTGTTGACTAATCCACGCTTCCGTAACAAATTTGGCAAAGTGAAGAAGTTTGAACATCAAGCATGGAGATATCACATGGTTACAATGGAAGCCACGTATGAAGAACCATATGGAACGCTAGCAACCCTGTTTCCTGTTTCAGCTTATTGGCAAGTGTTTTGCGCTCCAACAATCTTGTTGCTAGATATTCAATTTTTTATCTACAAAGAAAAAAAAAAAAAAGTCGTCAATCCCAGCACTGTCAAACGATGCTTGCATGTTATTGCTCCTGACAGTTATGGAATGTGACTCACTGCCCCGCCAATCAGGTGCCGCTAGCAGTTCGGCAAGTCTTCAGATCTTGTGAATTATCTTCGAGGTTGGCTGCACTCCTTTTGTTTCAATTATTTTTGAAAAAAAAAAAAAAAGGCGAGCCGAAGCGCAACTAGAATGCTGTGTCCATATTATCAATCCACACAGCCTAACATGAAACAACTTGGCTAGTTTGAGAATACAAGCAAAATTCGCCTGCAAGGAAAAAATAATTCATTCATAAGCAATGGTACGTCAAACCAAGACAATAAAAACTCTAGAAAGAAATACACAAACCCGAATGACAAAATTTTCAGCAAACATGTCCAGAGGTATAGACAGCAGTCGAGTCTCAATCATTTGGTTAACGAATGCATATCTGTGCATATGGTTATGGATTACATAAGATATCCTCAATTGTCAAGGGAGACAGAAAACAGCATATCAATATTTAAGGCACCCATGTCAAATTTTCAAAATTATGAGGAACAGCAGCTCCTTTTATCAACAATACGAGGTCATCCAGCAGTTGATACATTGACTTGGAACATGGATGCAGTTTATCAGCATCATAGAAAGAATGAGGGGTGTTATTAATGCTTATCCAACCGCACCCGGTAGTTTTTTTTAAGCACCTTTCTTTCATCATTTTTCTCACCTCAGATACTACACCCCATCTCCTGGAAGACGCATGCAAGTTTGAAAGTGAGACATAATTCGGAGGGCCTTCAGATTCTAAGTGAATAAGGAACCTACAAGCCAGATCCTGCATCTCAGCATTTCCATGGATTATGGAAGCACTAACAAGCACCCCCCAAACACCTGGACTAGGTTCCATTGGCATGGATTTAATAAAATCTAAAGCTCAGCCAAGCTAGCCTGATCGGCCTAACATATTCACAATACAAGCACAAATCTCAACCGTTGGCTTGATCCTATATTCATTTATTGTAGATATATAGATGCGCAGGTCTTCATCTACCAATCCTGACCGACCACAAGCAGAAAGAACCCCTACTATTCTTATCATGTCTGATTTATTCCCAAGATGAAGCATCTTGTTGTATACAAAGATAGCTTCCTCTCCCTTCCCCTGCAATCCATAGTCAGAAATCATTTAACTCCAAGATATTGGATCCCTATGAAAAGAACCATGCTCAAAGACATGTTTTGCATGATCCAAGCTCCCGCACTTGGAATAAATGCCGATCAAAGCATTACATAAGGAAACATCATCATTAAATTCCTTCTTGATGGCATATTCATGAATTTAAACCAGAAACTGCGCTACAAGCAGGAAGAACACTCACAAGCGAAGCCTTAATAAGTTCTACTTCATCCCTCACCTGAATTTCATGAAAAAGAACCAGTCCTTCCTCTAGAGATCCATTCTAAACATAACCACTGATCATTGCTGTCCAAGTATAAACATTCCCACCCTTCGTGCTATCAAATACCCTTCTACCTAGATGAACTTTATTACACCTAGAATACATATCTATCAAGCAAGATCCCAAATGAAACTCCGAACCCACAGCCAACTCGTTTCTCACTATAAACCCACGGAGTTCTCTCCCATAGTTCCCTTTCACCATATCCCCGCCACGCAAACTCAAAAGAGAAGAGACTGTGATTACATCAGGTTTTAACCCCTCGATTTGCATATCTTTAACAAAATCTGACATATCCTTATCAAAATTAAAGTCCCCTGAATCCGCATATCCCGATATAATAGCATTCCAAGCACCCACATTTCTTTCAGGTATTTCATCAAACAGTTCCCATGAATCAATTTCCCTGAATTCAAGTCACCAATCTCACCACAAACCTTTGACATCGTTGCAAGTGTATAATCATCAAGCAAAACACCACGGGAACTTGATAAAACCAACCAAAAGCTTCATTATAAACATGATTTTTCACACACCCATTAATCAATGAGTTCCATAGATAAACACTCTTGATTTGGAGCGAGTTAAAAACGAGTTGGGACACCATATACAGCGTATGCAGACACGAGTTCTATGGCCAAAAGGGGGTGTTGGGTGAAACCAAGAGAGAGAATTCGAGCATGGCATTGTTGGGTGAGTTTGAGAGATTTGTGGGCCAGTGAGAGATGAAGCAAATGAAGGAGATCTTTAGCTGAAGAGACCAGAGTGACGGAAAGGTCATAACGGGAGCTTCTGAGGCTAATTGCCTCCAATACAGACTACAGAGAAGAGGATCATCTGGACTTCACGGCTCCGAGTGTGGTTAGAATTAGGCGGGTGATTCTTCTAGGAGACACTGGACTGTGGGGAAATAAATCGGTTGGGCCAGTTGGGTCTCGATTATGGACCTAGCCATAACTGGCCTTTTATTACTAATAATTTATTGCTCATTTAAAACACAAATATTGATAATAAATTGACTTTATAATAATTATCATTATCTATGCGTACCCATATTAGTTCTTATAAAAACAATTTATTTACTTTAAATATTATTATAATAATTGATAATAATAAAATTTAATTAAAAACTATTTAAATGTATAAATCAAATTTTTTCGTGCTTGAGAGAATTTTTTATTTTATTTTAAGGAGAGGATTTTCTCTTTTCTTGTGGTGTGTAAAACCAAGTCCTTGTTTAATTGTTTTTTAAATTATTTTTATTTAAAAATATATTTAAATAATTTTTTATTTTTTAAATCCATTTTTAATATAAAAAAAGCTGAAAACATTTAAAAAAATTAAAAATTTTAAAACATTTTTAAATTACAAAAACAAACCATTTTGAGGGTTCTCAACTTCTTGCATTACAATAATTCATTCCAAGGTGCTTCATACGCAAGATAGCCCTCTTCTTTTCTCTTCCTCGTCTAAATTAATTCTATGTTTCATCGAATCTTGGTCTAATAATCCATGGGATAAGTGGATCTAGATTTAGAAGGAGATCGGGAAAATCATTTCCCATGAATATAAAAAATTAAAGGTTAGAAAAAAAAAGAATATAAAATATGATAAGAAAAAAAAAAGCAATTTCAATAAAAATATTGAATAAAAAATTCCATAAACATTAAGCAACTGTTTATTATTGTATTTCAAAAGTATTTTGAAAAAAAATAAAAAAATTATTTTTTTATTTATTTCGAATTAATATAAATTATTTTTTTATTTATTTCGAATTAATATATTTTTAGTATTTTCAAAACATTTTGATATGTTAATATTAAAAATAATTTTTTTAAAATAAAAAAATTATTAATATATATTTAATACAAAACATTATTTAAAAAATAACACTGTAAAATTAAAATGAAACAACAATACCAGGTTTCAAAGCATAATTTTATGTTAGAAACATGGAAGACAAGGGAATGAGATGGCATAATTTTATGTACATAAATTGATTAAATAAGATAAAATTTTGCATATATTATTAGAATCTCATGCTATTTGTCTTAATAGTTCTATCGTGTTTTTTTTATAATTTTTACTTAACCATTAAATTTAATCAAATAGATAGAAATAAAGAAAGCTTAATAAAATCATCATCAAAAGTGTAGGAGATTTAGTGTCATTGATAAGGGAGTGCAAAATGTATTTTAAAAATATATTTTAATTTTTTAATTAAAATAATATTTTTTTAGATTTTATTATTATTATTGGTGATAATAACTAATCAAAATCTTAAAAACACATTAATTTGATAATTTATATTGTATAATCTTTAAAACCTATTTGAAAATATGGATCAATTTATATTTCTAAAAAAACTAAATTTTTTATTAAAAATTAAAAAAGTTATATATTTTGAATAATTTTAATAAACTGATCTCAAAAAAAAATTAAATAAAAAAATTATTTTAATACATTTCAACAAAAAAAAAATATTTTCAAAACCAAACAAATCATCATTCCTATCACACCTACCATAGGCATTGACTCTTCTATTTGCTCTAATACGAATTATATACCAGGATGTCACAAGGCGCTCTGAGAAGCACCCATTTTATCCTCGTTTCAATGTAGATATATAGTCTCTTTTTAATGGGATAGGAAAGGAGGATTGAATTTAACTGTACGAAAACTAATCCAATAGCATGTGTGCGGTTCTAAAACCCAAAAAAGAATCATGATAATGATAATAATAGTGATTAATGAAGAAGTGGAGATTGGATTTAAAGGAATTGTTCAGATAATTAAAGAGACTCCCTCTTTAATCAATAGGGTTCAAAAACTTTGGATTATACCATGAGGAATTAAGTTAATTTTCACGTTCTTGAACTGCCTGGTTCTGATATGGATATTTTATCTTTGATCGAATGAAAGAGTTGAGCTTAATTAATTTCGATACAAGAAAACTGGTCTACGGGTACCATCTTGTCACGGGATAAAGAAGGTGGGGGGGTGGTGTTGGTGGGGTGCGGGGGCGGGCGGGGGTGGAGGAGGAGGAGGAGAGTGAAAGTGAAAGGGTGAAACCGTGAAGGATGGATAATTTGCGTTATCAAGGTTCCATATTCTTGTGAGAAGGTTATCGTACAGAGTAGTAATGAGCTCCAGATAAAGAGCCTTCTCATTTGATGATGGCTAGCTAAATACACAGTAACAGTTAAAACACCAAGAGAAATGTAACAGTGCTTAGTGATCAGTTAACAGAAAGGTGCCACTAAATTTTGCATACTAGCTTTGTTTGTTGCACATGCCGCACCAAGATTGCCATGGAGATCATCCAAGTTCCACAAGCCATCCCAGAGTATATCCTCGTTGGAGGCCTCAGGCACTGATGCATTGACATTGAACATATTATAGAGCAAGCCATGCTCCTCAGTTGTATAGGAGTATATGGCATGAGGGGCCATTTCCTGCCCCATTTGAGGAGTACATGGCGCTTTATCTTCTTTTTCATCGAGCATGGACACGATCTTTCTCATGTCCAATTGATTTATCTGCAGTGGTTGTTGATGTTGAGTTTGTTGCTGTTGTCGCCGCAGCTGCTGCTGCTGTTGAAATTGCTGCCTCTTCAAGAGACGAGTTCTTGCCTTGTCAGAGTTATCTGGAGAGAGCTTGGCCTTCTTCTTGAAATGAGTCCTCCAGTAATTCTTGATCTCATTATCAGTTCTTCCTGGCAAGCTTCTCGCAATTGTGGACCACCTGATTTTTTTAAAGAAATTGAATTAGCTATATATAAAGCTTTATTTAGAAATCTCAACGAAGACTATCAAAAAAATAAAAAATCAGTAAGGATGATGGGAGTTCAAGTTTTTACCTGTTCCCCCACCTAGCATGCAGCTCCACAATAATGCTCTCTTCATGGGGAGTTATCTGCCCCCTCTTCAGGTCTGGCCTCAAGTAATTCACCCACCTCAATCTGCAGCTCTTTCCATTCCTTTTCAGCCCTGCACAGCCCGCAAAAGACAGGGACATAAAATATCAGTCCCGACCAGTAGGAATACTATAGTCTACGGCAGCATTAGCAATAACAAGGTTGTAGGGAAATTCCATAAACGAATACTAATATTGACTAGGATAATTAAGAAAATCCACATGGGTCATTAATCAAGTAAAAACGGGGTTCTTTGCACCATTTCAATCGTAACAATCTAACCGAGCTTAGCTATTTCCATGTATATCCAGATAAATCTCTAGCATGGTTACATAGGCTAAGAAACCGAGCCAGAAAGCTCAGTAGCTAAAGAAAGGTTCTATGTAGAAGTTAGATATCCACCTGCAAGCCTGGCTACAGAGCTCCATCTTCCATCACCATGCAACCTGACATATTCAATAAGCAACCTGTCTTCTTCAGCAGTCCAAGGTCCTTTCCTCCAACCCTCTTCGATCAGACCACCCCAGGCCAACTGCCCTGCCATCACCCCCCAAGACATGTATAAAGGGAGGAATTAAGGAAAAGACTTGTGTTGTTAACGTGCGGGTAAAATTTTTATTCCATATTCTGTGCATATGGGGCTAGTGTTTGTTGCGTATTTATATCTGATCTTCCATCAGTCAGTTTAGTGTCACTGTCATATCATCCCTGTACTTCTCCTCTCCTGTCGTAGGTGTAGAGTTTGATTGCAAGATCAGAATAAAAAATATCTGAGTTTTTTATATTTCCGTAACGAATTCATTTCCATAGCTTTTTATCCATTGTTCTGAAACGTCAGTTAAAGTTTATGGGATCATGATTTGCTAAATCGAATCCATACCCTCTGATTGATGAGAAGTAACATCCCAATCTAGTGGTTGTGATGTAAGGATCAAATCTTTCAATAGATTTGGAAACGCCTTTGCCACTCATACCACCACTTGCGACACGCAAGGGCATCTGGGGAAATCTAAAAGAATGTCAAGACCTTGGGTGACATGTCCTAATAAGGACAGAATCCAATCAGATGAGGGTTCGTTTTATGCCAAAGTACTGAGACAGAGAACTAGTGATCTCATGGACGTAGGCCACGTATAGAAAAGGGCTCATGCACTAAGACACTATACACATGTTTTACAGTACTGCCACCAGTATTTTTTTTAAAAATTAAAACAATTTAGCATTAAATTGATTTTTTTAATTCTTCGTGTCCAAAATAAATTTTAAAAACCTAGAATAGCTGGTATGATCAGTAGCCCTTAAAGCATAATCTAGAAGTAGCAAATTAAAAATACATGGGTGGTGGGTTTTTTAACATGAAAATTACTCGTGCGCCAATAAGTCTTTACCAGCTGTTTGATTTGCATACTTATCAAGGAGATCGACACGAGTAATCTTGATTAAAATGTTAATTAAATAGGATTGATGGATACCATTTTGGGTGCTGGAGACATCATAACATTGAAGCCATTGATGGTCTCGGTCACCTTGCGGACAGGTGTGTGTTTTGGACGAAGATGGTGGAAAGAAAAAGCTCGGCGGTGGGTGGATGCATGTTTTCAGTCTAGCAAAGAGACGAGAAGAGAGGGCACAAAACATACTTGCGAGGCAACAAGTGCTAAACACAAGGGAACACTCGAGCATTATATGTACAAAGAGACAGTAACAAAGATAGGGTACAAATCAAATTTCTAAATGCTAACATGGCTTCTTGCTCGTGTTAGGGGGAGAAGCATGGAGGTCGCTGAAAATCATAGAGACCGTGATTAGTAATTAAAAGGAATTGATTAATTTTTTCTTTTTAAAAGTATTTTTAAAAAATAATTTTTTTATTTTTCTATGTACTTCAAAATAATTTTTTTATATTTTTGGATATTTTGATATGCTAATACAAATATAATTTTTTAAAAATAAAAAATATTATTTTGATGCATTTTCAAGTAAATGT